TGTATGTATGTATGTATGTATGTATGTATGTATGTATGTATGTTAAAACCAAAACATGATGAGTGACACTGAACCGTCAAACATCAAGTAACAAGTGGATTAACACTTTGATTTGTCGTTAATTGCACATGTCGGCATTCAGTTGGATATTTTCAAGCACACAGACACGCAGGAACCGCTGCAACAAGCACGAAATGTGGTTAGTTGCGAAAAACAGTTCCCTGCTGTCGCCTGATCTGACGCTGATCATTTTGCATATTTCCTTAAGAAATTTAAGGGTGTTGGGTTCCATCGGGCCGAGAACCTCGATGCATATTGGCAAGAATTCCATCGAGGGGAGGGCGTTCCCATATCTTTTCATGTGTACATACATACATGTATGTATTTATGTATGTATGTATTTATGTATGTATGTATGTATGTATGCATGTATGTATGTATGTATGAATGTATGTATGTATGTATGTATGTATGTATGTATGTATGTATGTATGTATGTATGTATGTATGTATGTATGTATGTATGTATGTATGTATGTTAAAACCAAAACATGATGAGTGACACTGAACCGTCAAACATCAAGTAACAAGTGGATTAACACTTTGATTTGTCGTTAATTGCACATGTCGGCATTCAGTTGGATATTTTCAAGCACACAGACACGCAGGAACCGCTGCAACAAGCACGAAATGTGGTTAGTTGCGAAAAACAGTTCCCTGCTGTCGCCTGATCTGACGCTGATCATTTTGCATATTTCCTTAAGAAATTTAAGGGTGTTGGGTTCCATCGGGCCAAGAACCTCGATGCATATTGGCAAGAATTCCATCGAGGGGAGGGCGTTCCCATATCTTTTCATGTGTACATATGTATGTATGTATGTATTTATGTATGTATGTATTTATGTATGTATGTATGTATGTATGCATGTATGTATGTATGTATGAATGTATGTATGTATGTATGTATGTATGCATGTTTGTGTGTTTGTATTTGTGTATGGTAACTAACCTTATACAATGTTTATCTATCAAACAAGGCAGCTAGTGTATTAATTAAGTAAAACCAATTAACTATAAGCTATTAGCTAGTGTATGAAATCTGTAATAATAAGCTGTACGTGAATAGTATGCTATTTTTTCATGTGAATACACGGTGAAGATGAAGTAGTTAGAGCAAATGCGACTTTTACTATGGGGTATAGTATTCATTGTAAATAGCATTAGAACTATGGAGCTAACAGAATGCTGTATATTTCTCGATTTATTTGAACTGTTAAGGTGAACTGTTACACATACATACGCAACTATACATACATACATACGCAACTACATATACATACATACGCAACTACATATACATACATACGCAACTATACATATGTATGTATACGTACATATACATACATACGCAACCACACATACAAAAAAAAACCTTGGAAAAAAATTGTTAAATATACTTAAGAAAAAAAAACATATACAACTACACATATATACATACATACATACACAACCACACATACGTACACACACATGTACATAGACACATAAGATGAGTGAACTGTCATTAAATGAACCAACTTAACGTCATTTCAAAGGATAAACTAATAATATTTCAAAAAATTTTGAATAAAATGAAAACTTATTTGGGGTTAAAGTTTCAAGTTTCATAGCTAACGAACAAAAATCTTAAGTATATTTAACAATTTTGTTTGCTAAGGTTATTTTTACTAAAGTAAATTTTTTTATTACTCAATTTTCACAAAGTATCAACAACACAAAGCATTTTGATAGGCATGTCAGATGCAATTTACCGGTAAATCGCCAGAGACTACGCCATCACGAATACCCAAGTTTAGCAGATAGTGAAGACATCTCAGAACTTAAGCATAGGAACTAAAGGAAAAATAACTTAATAATTGAGTTAACTTTCTTCACGATAACTTTTTAAGGGCCCTTTTTCATTTTTTGCTTTTTTTTATGCGTTTCATGGAATAAACTTGTTAAAAAAATCAAATAAAATAAGAAAAAACAATCAAAGATTATTTGACACGAAATTATTAATTTCCGAATTCTTATTAATTTAAAATCAAAGATATGAAAAGTTGATACTAAAAATTAATAAGAAAAATGCCACCGCTATTACCTTAAATTTATAAATAAAAATAATTTAAAAAGATTTAATTTTAATTTTTCTTCCTAAGGGGATGTGGGCATGATGGAGATGTACGTAGTTGTAGGGGTAGTCGTCGGCCTCGTTGTTGTCATCATCCTATTGACACTGCTCTCTGCACTATGTCTCAGGCTGGTAAAATGTTTAAGTTGTACATTTTTTAAATTTTCAATACAATCCTTAATTATTCACTGTTTCGTTTAAATATTATAATATATTTAAATATTTATAATATTTATTTTAAACTCAGCAAAGCGTGGTTTCAGAGTTTAAATTTTTATGTTTTTTTTAGAGTTTATATATGCACAACTTAGAGTTTAAATTTTTATGTTTTTTTTTTTTAGAGTTTATGTGTGCACGCACAGCTAATACGCAACGTCTGGTGCCTCGATTTACGCGTGTCACATGAGTTGTGTCAGTTTGTGTGTGTAACGAAACCAATCAGAATAAATTAAGACTGAAAAAGCACTAACAATTTAACCATTGCATCAAAAATTGAATTATATTTTTCATCTACCACCAAAGATTGAGAAGCATGAACAGAGAAGACGATCAACAGGAGAGGTTGAACCCCCCTCGCCATTCGGATGAGATCGCCCACATATCCGATGACGTCAGAGGTGATGACATCATAGGTGACGTAGATGATTCAGCTAATTTTTCATCGTCGTCAGTCGTCCTGTCTATAAATTCTGCCTTCGCGGATGTTAAATTGTAGAATGTGTCTTCTTGATACAATTTCATATTTTGCCGTCATTTCGTATTTTTGTTGTGACCAGGTTTCGCGCTTACGTCTTACTTCTGAGAGTTCTAAATAGTTTAAAAAATATTTTCATTATTAAATTTTGATATGTTGTGTTTATTTATTCTCGTTATATTCACTTTATTTTTAATTTTATATCCGAAAAAATCGAACATCGATGTAGTTTTTAAACATTTTTATATTTGCGAAAAAGGCTAAACAGTTTGTTTTGTTGCTTGGAATAAGTTGAGAAGTAGTCAGAGAAAGAGGTAGAGAACAACAATCAAATGCTAATTAATTTATTAGAAACAACCACCTAGTGACAATTGTTTTATTATCTGTCAAGTTGTTAAGTTGTTGAGAGTTTACGATCCAAAAATTGACACGCGTCAACTAATTTGAGACAAATTCAGCGTTAAATAGTTTAATGTTCGATTAATTGACAGGTCATTAGCTATTTAGTATGTGAGTCCTAACTCTCGGAATGGTATATAAGTTGTTTGAAGTCACAAATTGTCAAAAATCGAAACAATTGAAATAATTTCTTATGCTATCTTTTCATTAGCTATCAGCTGATTAACATTACCATTATTAAACATATCAATTTTTAATCAAATCGATTTCCAGAGTAAAAAAAAATTTTTATTTCGAATTAATTGAAAAGTTCATTTAATGAATAATGGCTCCACTAACTATCATGTCTCAAGCATCGAGAAACTTGGAAGAAACGCTGAAGGTAAACAAATCTACACATTCATAAAAATAATTTTTTTTTTTTAAACATTTTCAAATTTATTTTGTAATTCAACTTGCAATCCATTAAAAAATTTAAAATTAATTTCAATCAGATTGAGGTTAGCGTAGAAATTGGACACAAGGCAGCAGTGAGGAGCCTCCCAACGAAGGAAGGATGCACGCACGACTGGATTGTGTACGTTAGGACTGACCAGGATCAGTTCGTTGAGAAAGTTGAATTCAACCTCCATCCGTCCTTCAAGAAGCCGAGAAGAGTTGTTAAAAGCGCGCCATTCCAGGTTGTTGAATGTGGTTACGGAGGCTTCCGCATGTCGATCGTCGTCCACTTCAGAGTGAACAACCAGCGACAGCCCGTTCCATTTGATTATTATTTGTTCCTGGGCGATGCAGTGGTCTCCAATAATGTCCTGCAGAAGGTCTCAATCCTATCAGGCACTCTTGAAAACTCAAAACCTCCTGCGAAGAAGAAACCCGGCAGGCCAAAGAAATGTGCACCAACAGATGAAGCTCAACTAGTGAACAAATTTGAAAACCTATCAGCCCGTTCAACAAGATCAACATCTTCAAACTTTTCGTCATCATCATCACCAACATCTTCAATGTCTAGTTCATCGTCAACAGAATCTATCCCATCATTATCAACATCGAACTCAACATCATCATCATCAGCAGCAGAACCATCTCCATCGCGATCATCATCGTCATACTCCTCCGACAGCTCTCAGGAAATAAACAGCACAACATCGTTTGTGGAATTTTTCAATAAGCACGAGCAACTCACTTCAACACCAACTAAATCAAACAACACAACCAACAACAATGTCATCAACAACAACATCCCGACCAAATGTAACCAGAACTCAACTAATGCTCACCAGCCAGGCAAGAAACACTTGAGATTCAAGCCATCGTTGGAGGAGTGCAGGTACTTCTCAGAAGATGATGTTGTCCGTGCAAACAATGACACAAAAAACAACAAATTCACACACAACTGCGCAAAACACACAACAACCTACAACAAAATAAACAACGCCGACAAATTCGGAATCAACAAAGCTCCCCAAACAACCACAAAACCAGCAGTTGTTGATGGACACAAACTCAACGAGCTAATGAAACTGCAGAACATCTTGATGTCGATAACAGATAGGAAGCTGATGAAGAGAATCGTGAAGATGATCCACAGAGCTGGTTGCTTAGACATCCAAGAGACCACGTACAACTTCGATCTCGTGCTCCTCGATGATGAGACCATTGAGAACATTAAACAGTGCATTGGTCTAAGATGGTCTATGATGATCTAAAATGGTCTCGTCTAATATGATATCCTGATTTGTATCTATGAGGATTTTAAAATTTATCTATTGATGTCAATTGTATATATCATGTTATTTGTGCATTATCTAATTAATTGTATTAATTGTATATACATCAGTTATTCATTTTCTAATTGTATATATATATATATATATATATATATATCATGTCATTCATTATCATTTGTATCATTTGTATATATCAAATTTGTTTTATTTAATTTTATCAATTGTATCATATCGCATTTGATTGTACATATACCATCTCGCTTGGATATAGTTTTCAGTTTTTCATTTCGATTCGATTGAACACAAAATGTTTATTAAAATGTTGATCGTTCTAAACCAATGATGAGTCTTTCATATTTTATCTAGTTTTTGAGCGATTGTTCTTGTTTAGAAGTACTTATTAGGCTTCTAGACAGAAACTTTCAATATAGGAGTAATTTAAAATACGCTCGCTTGCAAAGGCACCCCGGCCAATTGCACCCCCTTGCTGGCTTGCCGTCCTCACCCCGTTTTAAACGAGTTTTAATGTAATTTTCTATTTTGAATCGTCGTTACTTCGACTTCCAAAATGATTTAAAAAACTTTAAATCTTAAAATGATGAAGTAAAATAACCACGCCACGCCGATTCAACGCTTTATTTCAATGGCCTCAACCAAACTGTTGTTTTTTTTAACAGTTAACAAAGGAATTCTGAGAATGTATGTTTCTACTGTTTATTTCGTATCATAGTAAATGTATTGTTTATTTTTTAAAAAGTATCAAACGATCAATCGCATGTGAAGGACGTACGTCAGCGTCCGCTAATTCAGCTGGCAGTTGTAAAATAATGAGATTAGGACTATCTAGGTAGAGCTGAGTTATTAGTCTTCACATCGTAAACACGCGCCAGTTGATCGTAAAGTTCTGCGAACGTAACAGCCAATAAACATCGTTGGGTGGTGAGGCCCTGCAAAGTCATTTCGGGCCCTAAAATTTGTAATGGCATTATAAAAGGGGTAAGAATATGACACGTGCATCGGTGATGAATTTATTACAAGACAACCACCCTCTGATGTTTGGCGACTGTTTGTTGTTGCTGTTGTGGTTGTTGTGGTTGTTGTTGTTGTTTTTGTTGTTGTCGTCGTTACTATTTTACGACTGGTCGTCGAACGTTTGAGAACTGTTTGAAGAAAAAGATGATAATTTGATGTTCTTATTCTATAACTTCTCATAACTGTAAATTTGAATATCAAAGTATTCGTGTTTAATTTTTTTAAATCTTATTAAATTCAAAACTTGTGTGTGATGGTATAATGGTAGAGGCGCCTGACACCTCTATCGCAGTGACCTGATTCGACCGCCAGAGAGATCTCAGCCAACCACGTGTTTTCATTTACAGGTGCTGGTTGATTTGTCCTCCTGATAAATTTATCCCCTCCTCACAACGTGTGGCCCTTTATTGGTGCGAATGCAGTGGAGGGGGAGGGCAGCTGATGTTTGCTGGGTGCTCTTAAGTTTTTTTTTGGAAGTTTTAGAGAAACATTTTAAATTTTTCGTTATAAAGTTTTAAAAATTTTTATTAGGAATTACATGACATAAATAAATATGTCATGTATAAATTACATGACAAAAATAACATGACCTTACTTAACTGATTTCAAATGTAACATAAAATTCTTGACATTTCTAAAATTGAAGGTGATTAAAAATTAACTACTTTTAATACGTTGTCTACAGCGTCAAATCAAAATGTAAAACAATCGAATCCTCATTCAAAAAGTTCCTAAAAATTTAAAATCTAACTGAAAATAAACTCAACCAAACGAACACAACAGCTCTCGTGCCCCAATGAACAAGTCTTAATGACTTTACAGGGCCTGACCCCCAGACGGTGTTTATTGGCTGTTACGTTGAAAGGATTTTACGATCAGTTGGCGCGTGTTTAATACGTGAGGACTAACTATTTAGCACTAACTCGTTGGTTCGAGTCTAATTACTTTATTGAACTTGATTGTGTTGAAGCGTGTCGGTCAATGTCTTTGTTGTAGTTTAGGAAAGGTATATATAGTGAGAGTTGTGTTTAATCTAAATACACATTTAGTGACTTGATAGTTCTTATCTTGTGAAAGTTTAAAAAATAATTAATTATATAAATAGAAGAGCAGCAGTATTAAATTTTATAAAAAAAAATTATTTACATCCTTTAAACAAGTTTTGAAAACCCACGAGAAGAATTTTGATCATGGCTCCAAGAATAGTTGAGTTGCCCGAGAACATTGAGCAGAAGGTAAGACTTGATTGAATTTTATTTTCATAACTTCTTTTCATTTTTTTAAAATTTGTTAAAAATTGAAATAAATAAATTAACATTTAAATTAAAATTGAAACGTTTCCAGATTGAGGTGAGCGTAGAAATTGGACACAAGGCAGCAGTGAGGAGCCTCCCAACGAAGGAAGGATGCACGCACGACTGGATTGTGTACGTGAGGACTGACCAGGATCAGTTCGTTGAGAAAGTTGAATTCAACCTCCATCCGTCCTTCAAGAAGCCGAGAAGAGTTGTTAGAAGCGCGCCATTCCAGGTTGTTGAATGTGGTTACGGAGGCTTCCGCATGTCGATCGTCGTCCACTTCAGAGTGAACAACCAGCGACAGCCCGTTCCATTTGATTATTATTTGTTCCTGGGCGATGCAGTGGTCTCCAACAATGTCCTGCAGAAGGTCTCAATCCTATCAGGCACTCTTGAAAACTCAAAACCTCCTGCGAAGAAGAAACCCGGCAGGCCGAGAAAGAACAACAAATTACTATCTACCAACACATCTTCAGAGTTGTCACCATCAACAGAACTATCGTCATCATCATCATCGGTCTTGTCATCATCTTCATCATCAGTTTCATCGTCAAATGTCTCTGAATCGATAAATTCATCAACAGCTCTTCCTGTCAGAAAGGCTGGAAGGCCGAGGAAGAACGGGACAATCCCTGTCAAATCCATCGAGTCATCGTCTTCCTCATCTTCACCACCAACATCAAAACTGTCCTCCCATGACAATCGAGACCTCCGCAACAGACGGACAGTCTCAACGCTACCGGCCGACAAGTTGCGCGACCACGTCGACTGGTCTCTGAGACAAACAGCAACCATCAACCAAAATAACGTCAGTGAAGATGAACTGAATGAGAAAATTCGCGAATTATTGAAACTTCAGGAAACTTTGATGACGATGAACGAGAAGAATGTTTTGAAGAGAGTTGTTGGGATAATCCAAGAGGCTGGCTACTTGAAAGTCACAGAGTCCTCGTTTGATTTTGACCTCATGGAGATGGATGGCGTCACGATAGAATGCATTAAGAGGTGTATCGAAATCCATTGAGGATTTTTATTCGATTTTGAAATTATTATATTTTTTATCTCACTTTTCAATTGTATATTTGATATTCGATTCTATATCGATGTTTTTATGATTTAAAAATTATTTGTATATATATTTTTTAATTTTCGATGTATACATTTTCTATTTTGAATTGTACATATGTGTATTTCTTTTATAAGTAATACAAAATTGTAAAAATGTGACTCATTTGTTTTATAAAACAACACACACACACACATGAACAAACACAACACACACGCACGAACACACTCGCACGCACACACACACACCTATACACCTAATTTTCCATACAAAGATACATTTCCTAGAATTCTTTTCAAAGTTTTATATGATGAACGGGGTACTAACTGTTAAGAAACAAGAACATAGGTTCATCGGTAGAGCTATTAAACAATTTATGAGCTTTTATTTATTTTATTTGTTTTATTTTTCCTCAGTTTATGATTCTTCATCTTTTTCGTTCAGTATCCTATCATTTCTATCATTCCGATATTGTATAATAATTTTTGTAGAGTAGGTTACACTGAATCATTCGCATTTACAAGAAACGTGTACAAGACAAAATGAGAAATTTTTGTTTGAAATTATTATTAAAAATGTAGAAAACTATTTTTTGATTATTTCGTTATAATTGAACACGTCTTATAACTTTTATTATAATTTGATTTTATATATTTAAT